GAGACGGAGGGAGGAAGGAAGGAGAAAATATTTAGAACACATAAACTACATACAGCCCATGGGTCAAATCCAGCCTGTTGCTTATTTTTGTAAATAAAGTTTTATTGGAACATATTCATGCATATTTGTTTGTTGTTGTCCATAGCTGCTTCCACACTATGACAGCCAAATAGTTGAGCAGTCACAACCAAGGCCGAAGGGGTCACAAAGCTTAAAATGTTTACTATCTGGCTTTTTCCAGAAAAAGTTTGTTGACCACTGATCTAGAAGATTGAATATAAGCATCAACCTGTAGGGAACCATTAGTACACAAAGATACAAAACTTGAATGCAGGAGGTGAAAACTGGTGCAATAGCAGAAGCTAGACTAGATGGCTTCACACTCTGAGATTCTATGAATTCAAAAATGTTTACTGAGCCCTGCTGGGATCCTGAGAGCAGGTGAGAAGGCACTCAATTAATTAATCCCCTCCCTTCTTCCTGGCCCTGCCCTCTCAGCAAACACTCTTCCCTTTTTTTGGTGAGAGCATCTGAATAGAAGACAGCCGAAGGCAGCAAAGCTGTGGCTGAGTAAAGAGAGGACAGCCCACAAGCTGAATCTCCTCATATCAGGCTGCAAACATAGGGCAATTTTGGTACTCATGAAATTTTCCTCTGTTTGAGATGTAAAGCAAACATAATTTCTCCAGTTCAGTGGGGAATCCAAGGAGGTATAGGTCATGGCCTGCAAAAGAAACTGTCAGTGAAGGAGGAAAGAAAGGACATGGGCAGATGAGAGTTCAAATAACCATACAAAAGGCCAAGATTTAGAGAACATTCAAAAGAGCAGTTGAGGGCAAGTTGCAATTATTGCGAAGTACAGGGAAGGCTTTGTGGAGGAACCGGTGGCAGCAAAGGAGTTTGAAAGAAGGAACGGTTTTAGAGAGATGGAGAAGCCAGGAAGGGCAACTTCACATCTCATCTGGGCAGCAATGCTCTGATGCTCTTGACATACCCCTCATGCTGCCAATCTGAGAACCTTGCTAGGGCAGCAACACACCACTACTCTCTGGGCTACCACACACACATTAGTATGGCAGCCTCCCTGACAGCTCTGATGGCTGAGCACACTGTTCCCCTTGCGTGAACCTCCCTCCAGGTCAATGTTCTGACCTCAGGCAGTCCGCATGGCTGTCTGTCCCCCTAGCTTCACTGCAGTCCTGCTAAGCTGCTCTGTTGCTGGAAACTGAGAAGAATCTCTGCCTCTATGAGTGATCCAGGGTAATGGGCAGGCAGGGAGGCCAGTCTGGACAGGCAAAAGCTCAACTATAAAGCAGTCATTTCTGTCTGCCACCAAAGCAACCTGCCCTTTTCTTGACCCCACTTTCGAAGAACTACTCACCAGAGGCAACATGGACTGACTTGCCCACATACCCTCCAATGGACACGGGACCAAGCCCTGGTAAGAAAGAGGCACACTGCCTCTTTCTTCTTCTGAAGACCAAATAACCAGCCACAAAGCACCCTGGGGTGAGCACTGATGATCACTCCATTTTATAAGCAGATAGAATTGTATTTTACATATAGGAGGAGGTAAAAAGCAGTATTCAGAGTAGGGCTGAGAGACTTCTGAGGCTGAGGAAACCAGTGAGGCTACTTTCTAATTCTGGGACAGGGTAAGTTTGCTGGAAGTAGAAGAGGAATTAATCCACATTCCATGCAGTTGCCTTAATTATTTTGTGGAAACCTGTTCCATCTTGAGGCTCCACCGGCTGAGGTGTTTTTGGGAGAATACCAGTTGCAAGGTTCCCCCATTCTCAAATTCATAAAGTCAGGCCTCTAATTTTATTCCCCAAGACTTCTGAAGTGACATAAATTATAGAACTCAAAGGGACTGTGAAAGGTATCTGTTCCAAGCCCTTTGGGTTATTCATGAGTTCCTAGAGGATAAGAGACTTACAGATCCTCACTCTTGAGCTGCTGGTAGAACAGGAACAGAACAAGGCTACCTGGAAACCACAGGGAAAAGAGTGCTCAGAACAGCAAGGGAGCCCACACTTACCTTCCAAAGAATGAATTCCCTGTTCCTTGGCAGTTTTGTAAACACTGCTGAAATCATCCCCAAGGTTTGGGTCAGCACCAGCAGCAAGAAGGACCTGCACCACACTGAAAGAAATCAGAAAGACAGAAATGTCAAAAGCAGGAAAGGCCCAGGAAATAGAGACCCAGATTCCGAAGCATGTTTGGGAATTGGATTTGTCTGTGCTCGTGAGTGGTACAATGGAAAGAACATGAACTCTGTGAGTGTCAAAGACAGGGGTAGGAAAGGAGGCTCTGAAATTTACTGGCTCAGAGGCTCTGGAATTGCCAAAAGACATATGAAAAGATGCTCAACGTCACTAAATCATGGGAGAAATGCAAATTAAAACCACAATGAGATACCATCTCATGCCTGTCAGAACGGCTATCATCAATAAATCGACAAATAAGTGTTGGCGAGGATGTGGAGAAAAGGGAACCCTCACGCACTATTGGTGGGATTGCAAATTGGTGCAGACACTATGGAAAACAGATGGAGGATCCTCGAAAAATTAAAAACAGAACTACCTTATGACCCCACAATTCTGAGTATCTGAAAAAAATCCAAAACACTAATTTGAAAAGATATATGCACTTCTATGTTCATTGCAACATTATTTACAATAGCCAAGAGATGGAATCAACCTAAGTGCCCATCAACAGATGAATGGATAAAGAAAACATGGTATATACATACAATGGAACATAACTTAGCCATAAAAAAGAATTGAACTTACCACTTGTGACAACATGGATAAACCTAGAGGATATTATGCTAAGTGAAACATTAAAAAAAGAGGATATTATGCTAAGTCAGAGAAAGACAAATATATGAGTTCACTTATATGTGGAATTTAAAGAACAAAGTAAATGAACAAAAAAAACAGAAACATACTCATACAGAGAACACATTGATGGATGCCAGATGGGAGGGAAGTTAGAGGCCTGGGTGAAAAAGGTGAAGGGATTAAGAAGTACAAACTGGTAGTTACAGAACAGTCACAGGTATGTAAAGTACAGCATAGAGAATATAGTCAATAAAAAAAAAGAGGCTCTGGACAAGTTATTTGATACCTAAGGCTTGGTTTCCACAACTATAAAAGAGAAAGTGTTTATTCAACAATTACTTATCAAATGTGTAATTACTATATTCTAGTCACCGTTCCAGGTGCTAGGGTCTGTGCCCTCGCAGAGCTTACAATCTTCTGGGAAGGACAACAATTTAGTGTAAACTTATAGCAAGCTGTGATAATGGCTATGATGGAAGAAGTACCATTCGCAATGAAAAACCAAGAGAAAGGATCAAGAAAGGCCTCCCAGAGCACATGGTATTTAAGGTATGGAAGAAATGAAGGCTGAATAGCCAGATCTGGGATGGTGAAGTGGGAGGAAACAATGCATTTACGAATCCTGGAGGCAGGAGCACAGTGCTGCACCTGAAGAAAGTAGAATTGGAGTAGAGAAGAGAAGGAGAAGAACAGTGGGAAATGAAGTAAGCCACTGAAGGGCTTAAAGAAGAAGTGACATGACAACATATGTTTTTCCTTCTCACCTCAAAAGATATACATACTTTAAAAAGTACAAACTATATTGAAATATTAAATTAAAAAATGAAAGTTTCCCCTTATAGCCATCTCCTTAATCTAAGTTCCAATGGCAACTACTATTTATAATTTGGAATGTTTCTTTCCAAATCTTTGCTATTGGAAGAATCACTCCAGTGGCTGTGTGAGAATGGACCGGAGGGAGAAGGACAAGAGGCAGGAGCCTCCACAGTGTCGGTGTGAGGTTGAATCAGGTAAATTTATACAGCACCAAGCATAGTGTTTGACCCAGGAAGTACTCTGTATATGTTAGCTTCCTTTCTATTATGTAATGTTCCAGCTTACGCTTTCCTTTTTTCCTAATATAAAAAAGGCTTATGTTCACTATAGAAAATTCAGAAAATGTACATAATCAAAAAGAAGAAAATGTTTTAGAATATATAACATCCAGCTTTTCAATATATGGGTTTTTTTTTCTACAAAAATGGGATCATACATAAACTCTCTCTAAACACACACATACACATACACTTTCCATGTTTTAAATATTGGTCTACCATACTGTTTTTCAATGACTGCATAGTATTACAGTCTAAGACTATTCTATACTTTAGCCTATTATAAAACAATTATTTTTAATATCACGATAACATAATATCTCCAATTATTTCCTTGGATAAATTCCTAAAAGATGAAGTTCTAGGTCAAAAGTATAAGCATTTTTAAGAGTTTTGATAAATTTTACTAAATTACCTTTCAGAAAGACTGTGCCAATTTTTATTCTCAGTAGCAAAGGAAGGAGGAGAATAAGTATTGTGCTTTTCTTTCACCAAAATAGGGTGTTTTTTTCTTTTTAATAACGTTGTAAGCTGGTAAACAGAAAATTAAATCACATTGCTGTTTTAACTTGCATTTCTTTGATTACTAGTGAGGATGGAATTTCAGAAAATATGTTTAACAGTCAGATGTGGTTTTTTCCCCCCACGAATCCCTTATTCATGTCCTTTGTCCATTTTTTCTCTGAGTATGTTAATCTTTTGCTTACTGACCTTCAAACCTGCTAATGCTTTTGAAGGAATAAATGGCAAGAATTTTAAAAAATTACTCTAATTATCCTAATTTTTAAAAGGCCCAAGTATAGTTTTAATTTTCCTCTTTCTTGTTAGTTTTTCAATACCTGTAACTGACAGTGTTGATGATTTTCCCTGTACCACCTGGTTTGAATTTCATTTCCTTCAACACGGGACCTGGCTCAATTATTTCCCAAATGGATGAATGAATTTCAATAATTCCCATACATACAAACACACAGTTCTCACAGGTAAGTCAAAGAAGCAGAATCCACCTCCCATGTAGCTGAAGTTCTTCCACATCTGATCTAACATGGTCAGGTGAGGCTCCTGTGTCTATTCACCTTACCTAAAAGGATCTTAAGAATTACCTGCTCACAGGTAATTTATCCAGGATATGGATTAAGATCCCAAAGAGAAATGAGAAGGGTCTCTAAGCAGCTAAAATCCAAGTCAGAGCAGAGTCTGTCAGGTTCTTACTTGGAGACTATTTACTCTTATTTACATACAATTTGGATAAGATTGGTACTATTCTTTCTGATTTCCAGAAGATTAAAAGCCAAGAGGGGACAAAAAGGCTATTACAGATAGGCAAACTAACTGAAAGTAGTGAGGAATAATAATTGATAAACAGTCAGTGTGGTACAGAGGTTAAGAACATTGGCTTTAAAATCTGGGACAATCTGAGCATCAAACATGAATAATGACAGCAGTGAATTATATAATCTATTGATTACACGAGTCCATATTGAAAATAAAAAGTCAATGGGGCAGGAGAAAGGAAAGCTCTTCTTTACTGTAGAATGACAAGTAATAAATGTACAAGGAAGGATGAAATTAGAAAATCGTAATTTTGCCATGTCATAATTATCAGGGATAACAAGTTACCTAGCTCATATGGCTGTTAATGTATGTAAAGTATGTAATGTATGTAGAGTGCTTAGAATAGTGCCTGACATATAATAAGTGCTCAATAAACATTAGTTATTATTACTATTTACCCGACGCTATGGTTGGGCTGTGGAGAAGTCAAGAGAAGTATGAACTAAGACACTTAAATTAGGAAGACAGCATGCCATTTTACAACAAGTACAGAGAAACCTGGGTTCAAATCAAAGCTCTATCATTTACTGACTGTAATCTTACCAGAATAATGGAGACAATGATGCCTCCCTTTGGTTATGCGATAAGCAAGTAAAACTCCACAGTTCCTAGTACGTAGAAGAAGCTCCCAAAATATGAGCTCTCAGCTCTTTGTCCATATAATCCTAGTGATAACAACATGAATCTGGGCCAAAGTGCACACTAGACCACCTCCAGGATTCATGCTAGCACAGCCCTGTATTAAGAAGGCAGCTCTTCTAAATTCTGCACAAGTTGGCTTGTTTCAAAATCCAAATGAGAAAGGTTTGTTGATCTAAACTCAAAGGGACATAATTTGGTTAATCCTCAGCTGCTCTGTCCAATCACCATTCAATCACACCACTTCCCATGGCAGGCTGTCCCTCCAGGCAGCTAGTGTCACTAACTGTGCTACCTTGGCCTCTCCAGGTTCATGAGTATTGATTCCATCTGTCCAATTTGCAGGCTGCAAAATGTGTCCAAGCAACCAAGTATGTTGCCCTTGGCCCCAGAGGGCAGACAGCGGTCTGGCAGGATGGGGAGAGGAGAGTGATTGGGCTTGGCCCTGGGACTGCTAACCCAATCTAAGGGAATGGGCAATTCACTTCACAAACTTGGAGGCCAAAGAGGGTAAGCATCCAAGCTAGTGACTCATTCTACAACCTCAGAGAAGGTTCCCTTCTTTTCATAAAACTCAAAAGGCAGCAGCCCCACTGTGGAGTATAGCTATAACTAAATAAGCCATTGCATTTCAGTGGCCAAGAGTGGCATCAAATACATTGCAAAATGGCTAGTAGGCTTTTTATCTAACAGTTATCACATACTTAATAAAGCATCTAATCCAGAGTTCCATGAGAATCAGGCCCTTCTTGAGGAAGCCATCCCAGATCAGGTGAGAGGGCTACATGACTATGGTTAGCTTTGGCGAACAAAGCTAGCTTTGATGACCTGTGGGCTACAGCAGGGCAGAAGAGGGTAAGAGACTAGCTAGCTTAGAGAAAGCTAAGGCAAAACTGGCGAGAACAGGCCAAGGCCAGGGAATGCCAAGGAGTTCAGAGTCAAAACAGAACCAAGGGCCGGAGACAAGGCAGCAGAAACGTGAGGCAGAGTCAGAAGCCAGATCAGATGGCAAGGACTAGAGGCTGAGGCAGAACAGTAGACCACAAACTTAGTAAGAAGCCAGAAACCAAGGAATACACTGGTACCAGAGGTCAAGGCAAGGCAAAATGAAGAAATCACTTCATTTCCAGTCTCCTCACTGCTACCAAGAGTAGCAGTGAGGAGACTGGAAATGAAGTGATTTCTGCCTCTTTGATGTTTTCTGCTGAAGCAGAAACAAATCCCCAAATTC